TAGCGTATGAAGACGAGCTTTTTCAGATGATTCCATTATCCTTCAACTCCCTTATTAACTTAGGTTCATTTTTTCACTTTCGTCTTTTGACATGCAATATTGTTTGTCTGGCTTACTGGTTCGTCATTGAAAACCTCAATTTTCATCTCTGGAACTTTTGCTATTTTCAACTAATCAAATCAAAAACTAAAATATTTGTAAATTTATTTATTAAAATGAATGTTCTTTCAAAAATAAGCAATAAAATGTCAACGTTATTAATGGATTTGATATAACTTGTGGAATTTTAAATAACTACATTTGATTTTATAAGATTAAAATTTGATGTGTGTACAGTAATCTCGACAATATGTTTGATCACAAAGTATCGTGGCAATAAAAAATTTCAACTCGAACGCAAAATAATCAAATTTCACTACCGCTTTAGAGCGTGATATAGAATTTACTATATAGTGTTATTAAAATCAAATCAAATTTCATTCATATGATTACATTTTCAATTTAGTAATTAATTAATGAAATTAATTTCTTTTTCGCTTTTCTTTATAACCGAACAATCACTGCCTTATTGTTCACTTCTTTTGGACCCCGTTTATAGTGCAAGTTTCAAATGGTTTACTTATTTCGACCGTCTCTACTTCTAGAACCCATTGGCATTGCATTTCATCTCAGTCTAAGCATACCACGCCTTCTTTTTCGTAAATTCTTTTTCGTACTTTGATTTAACTTTCTTGGTTTTGCGAGATGCATTTTCCAATAAATTATTGTTAACTAATTTTAGACATTGATATTTAAAATGGCCCTTCTCCATACAATAGTAACAAATATTCAATGGAACAAAATACGATGATTTTTCAGACCCAGAAGATTGCGAAGCCATAGATTTTAATGTCTTTTTCTTTCTTCCTATATTATTTTTTTTTCGTTTTTTTTTATTATTGTTTTTATCTCGGTCAGATTAGAAAAAATACTCAATTACCTTGGCTATGGCTACTAATCAACTTGGCTAGTTTTATAGTGAACGGCGAACACGCGAATATACTGTAATTCGTATTTTATTATCATGAATATCATCCGCTATTACATCAACGATCTTTTCTTTCGAATCATCTATTCAAAGCGTATTGAATTTAGCTAATATGATAAAACAGTATGCTTGCATATTTTATCTCGATGTACTCTTATTATTTACGGTCTAATAACTTTCCGAAACGTTCGTCTCCAGGAAACTATCGTATCAACGCAACCGATACTCAACACAAGGCTTCCCAAGAGACTAAAGAATATTACAACTTCTTGTATTACACCTTATTATTACCATTTATTTTTAATACTGCCAGATATAATTTAAGTTTGCCATTCCAGCCGTAAATTTCTCTGTACCTATTGACTTTCTCGATCTATTAAGCCACAGTAATAGCTTTTGACCCTAGATCAAATTCCGGCAAAATTTGCTCATTTATATAATTTGAATTGTTCGAACCCGCGTTCAAAATTCCTGATAAAAGCTTTCTCAATTTTGCGATCTCCAATTTTCCACTATCCGAATTCTTCAGCTTGCTTCTTTGACGTTAAATATCTTGCCGTGACGATTTTCGACTGTTACGACTTCGATTACAATAACATCCGGAACGAAGGTGACAACTTCAGCTGCGCGAATGACTTTCTCTGTTGTTGTGTGATCGGTGCGTATTCATCTTTTGCAACAATTTCACTTGTATGCCTATTGTCACAACTGATCTCTTTCTAATATAAATTTTCTTCATACTGTCATGAAATAGTGAAGTCTACTTTTAACAATAGTTTCGTATATGGTTCAGCATTGACGTGTTAAGTCCTCTATGCTTCACCACTAATTAATTCGTTAATCGCACATTATAAGTCTTATATACTCTCGTAATCTAAATATTTTGGCTATAACCCATGCTTTCATAGTATATAGTTACGAATACTCTTTCAATATTCACCGTGGTATGGTCTAAAATACTCGCGTTTTTCCTAGCACAAATACTATTTTCAGATTTTTGTTTTGGTACTTTAGTTTTCACTCTACTCCCAATCTTCGCCAGATCAAACCGCACTTCTGTTTCTCTACATGCGATTAATTCTTTTTTGTTCTCTAAATCTGCTTGACAATTTCACGCAAATACACTCATATTTTAACTTTATTGTTTGCACTCCTCTAAATTCAAGAGAAAATTCGACATTTATAACACGATCTCGCATTGAAAATTCTTGCTCGGAACAATTTTTTCTTTTTATTCACCCCAATCGATTCCTTGGATCTCGCCTGCCGGGCAGTGGGACATTTGATGAACAGGTGGAAGTAGCAGAGAGAAGGTTTCTTTATTGAAGCTCATAGTTGAACTTGGTGAGAGCTTAGAAAAAAGGGCCGTACAGGGCAAGCAATGCACGAATGGTCAAAAACGACACCCGACGCATGCGTATAGTCTCTTTATGAACGCTCATACACATACAAGCTATCCAGCACAAATCAATAAAGAGTAGCTCAAGATAGGAAATGTTTATTCAGTGTGATATTTTCGGCCAAGTGAAAGGTGTGTCACATAATGATTACTTTTACATAGTGGCGTCTGCACGCACGGGGTAATGGAAAACAATTTTTCCCCCTAAGAATTAAGAATAGTGTACACGTGGGTTCTAATTAAATTGCTACTGTGCGTGTTTCCTCAGTTTTGCGTCGTATTAAGCTTTCCATTAAGTCGCTGTCATGATGGCACCAAGTCACGGCACGCACTCGTTTCCTTAATATTCATGTTCAGATACCATCGCCCTGTAGTTTTTTTATAAGAGCTTCTAGCGCTTCATATCTTTCAACTTACGCTAACATTCATTCACTATGACTCGGCCGATGCGCATGGCATAATGCCTTGAGCACTCATTCGTGCAAATGACAAAAATTCCAATTAAAAATTATAATTATAATTATTATTGTTACTCCAAGATCTACGTTCATATAGAATGCTGCAAAGATACACTATGTACCTGTTGGTAAATGTCAATATTAAGTTTTTTTTTTAAATAGCAAAATTCGAATAAGCTTATGTGTGAACTTGATGAGCGTTCATTGAATCAAAGTGCAGGCCCAGAAGAAAAATTAACAAGCGAACTGCATTTCGATGAAACAAAAACAACGAGATTCTTAATTATCAAGTAAAGTATTGCACTGACAATCGAAAATTTGATTCCTGAACTTGAAATATTTAAACAAATGTGACAATTCTATGTTGAGCATTCTTTTGAGTTGTATAGAATAACATTTTATTAGAATGGTCTAATAACAAGTATATCTGCAATGGACATCCTATTTTTTGCTATCGAGTTAGTTTTAAATACTCCAATTAATTTACTAGTCAATTCACTCTTTGCACTGTTAATCAACTTGAGAGTGATCGGTATAACAATTACATGAATGCATAAAATGCTGTACTTTTGAGAAGTATAGTATAATTTACTCAAGTGCACGTCAACTCAATATTATATTACATTCACGTAGCTCAGCCAAAGTTGTATGTTACAAAATTGTTACTATTGTAGCAGAACAAGAGAATGGTCGTCCATTGATATTTCATGCTGGATCTACACCTATTGTTGTTGATAACATTTGACTAATAAGAAAGTAGAAAAGTAGCTTGCAACGCAAGGGCGTCGTTGAGTAAAAACAAGTACACGCAAAATAAATGAATGAAGTGGGCAGTTTAGCGCTCCCCGTTGCAGCCGCCGCCGCCGTCGCCGCCGCCGCCGCCGCCGGTCACTGATGCAAGCAGACTCGTCGCCCACCGACTGGGGGAGATCAACGAGCGTGCATTCCATCTCTTTCTCTCTGCGCTCGGTCTCTTCTTTTAGTCAATTTTTTTGTTTAACGCGAGCTCGTATTTGTCACAGCGATCTCGTGGACGTTGAAAGCTCAGCCTTGATATATCACGCGGCCTTTTTTTTCACTATACAGTCAGTAGCCTCGCGTTTTCTTGGCTTCACCTGTTGTTCCGTCGACTGTTCGCGGCATAGTTTTATCTGCATATATCTGCATACTACAACTGCGTAAATCTCACTCAGTGTAGCTAGTGTTGACCGTCAAGTGCTGTGACTAAGAGTTTCGAGAAACTATAACTTGCTTGGTGGGTAAATTTCTATCTTTGTAGATTTTAAAGCAATATACACTTAATAGCTCTACTTATTGAAGAAAACTGTTATTTTTCATAAAAAATCACCTGTGCAATATATTACTAAGTACCTTCTCATTCATATTTTGCGCTTATTATTCGTTTTTTTTGTAATTTACAAATTAAAAACTAGTACCACCTATACAAGAATTTTGGTTGAAATATCAGTGTTAGTGGATGAGCATCGACTCTTTGCTTATGTTCAGTCATATTAAGCTTTCTACTAAACCGATTTCTCGAAAAAGTAAATCTAAGAAATGTATTTTTTAGTGTTGTGTATACACAAATTCTTCAAAATTGCAGACAAGTCGATACTTCAAAAATTTGTGTTATTAAAAAAATTGTGATTTAAAGACTCGAGTTATAATCTCTAATGCGTAAGATTATATTTTTTATTTTGATTCAATCTAAGAAATATTTGAAAATATTCAATAAATTTGCAACTATACTATAATGAATTTCAACTCCGGGCGTTATAAGAACTAATGGATTTGTTTGCTTGAAATTTATTTCACTGAAAAATAATTAAAATCCAGACAACTTTTGAAAACTGATTTTGATTGATTAATCAACGTATTTAAAAAGTTATATCACACGTATCAAAGTTGAAAATCTATGAGATCTTAAAAGAGTAAAAAGGAAATTGAAATGAAGATTCATTAAGCAGTATGTCAGGTCATTTGTTTCGAGGTCATTGGTTAAAAAGTATTGAGTGAATTAAATACGTGCCCTTAACACATATGAACGTACGAAAATTAAATATTCACGATAGATGAACTAAAATACTTAAATAAAAAAAACTTTGTTTCAATGCAGAATCCATTAGAAGCCAGGAAAATGTTTCCAAGCGAAACAACAGCAGAGACTAGATTGTGTTACAATAAATCGAAGATTATCCAAACAAAACAAGATGAACATTCGAAAAGTAATGGTATCTCAAAAAACAGTAATGGCATAATAAAAGGAAATTCTAGTATAGACGGAGATACACTTTATGACGTATATTCTAACGATCATCACGAAAATGGAAAAAAGCAGTCTTACTATTTTGGGCAACAACTCATATGGAGAAATATCATTGCTATAACAATATTTCACGTAATAGTTGTTTATGCATACTTCACGTTTCCATACCGACAGCGCTGGAAAACCGCAATATGTGGTAAGTTTAGTAATTGATGATTTCTTTTGTTTTTTTTTCTTTTTTAAAATAATGTAATGCCTTTCATTTTGTCATTTATAAACCTTTCATATATAAATAACATTTAAACAGAAATTTTCCAGCATGAAAAATTAAGAAATTTGAAATCTCAAATTATGGTAAACATGTGATTGCGATTTCATTTTGTGATAATAAACATCGTTCATCGAAATTTCTAAATTTAGTAGTATATTGCCATTCTGTTTGAGGAATGTATTATTCTTCTGCTTGTTTTCTGCATAGTCATACTATTAAATATTTCGTGAAAATGCATAAGAATTTTGTAAATTCTAGTTACTTTTTATCAATCATCTTGCAAAATTATTTAATAGAAAATTTATTATTCAAGTATGATGTTACGACAAAAACTGATGTATTTTCTTCCAGCTTGGCTTTGTGCTATTGTGGCTTCATTTGGAGTCGGAGCAGGCGTTCATCGGCTTTGGACTCATCGCTCATATAAAGCTAAAACGCCTCTTAGAATCATCTTATTATGTTGTTATTACTCAGCTGGCATGGTACAATAATTAAAATTCAAATAGTTATATTTTTAATTTATGTTCATATATTTTTTATTATTTTTCTGCCTTCATATTTGCAGAATTCCATATACAATTGGGTACGAGACCACCGAATCCACCATAAATTTTCAGAAACTAATGCTGACCCACATAACAGCAGCCGAGGATTTTTCTTTTCTCACGTTGGTTGGTTAATGATGCGTAAACATCCAGACGTTTATAAAAAAGGACAACAAATTAATATGGATGATGTAACATCAGATCCCGTGGTAGCTTTCGGTGATAAGTTCGTATTCTACTAATTTTATATATAGTAATCTTTTTCTATGTATATTAAAGCAATTTTAATTGATACGATACAATAAAATATATTTATAACGATTTTAGCATTTAATAGTAATGTAAACGAGGAACTTTTACAATTGATAATAAATTTATTTTAGTAAATTTGACAAATTGTATATGTAGTTGGAACAAACGAATCGCACATATTGTAGTATAAAGTTAATAAATTTTATTGTATCGAATCCAAGTTATATTTGAAAGCTTGTTGATTATAAAAGTTTTATGTTTTATAGGTATTTTTTGCCATTAAAAATATTTTTTTGCTTTATATTGCCAACGTCGATTCCTGTATATATTTGGAATGAGGATTGGTACTATGCGATTATGGCACAAGTTTTTATGCGATATGCTTTCATTCTAAATGCCACCTGGAGTGTCAATAGTGTGGCTCACATGTTTGGCTGGAAACCCTATGACAGGTAACTATTCAATCTATTTGCCATCCTTATTAAGTGAAAAAAATAGTTCGATAATATTACCTTTAACAAGGGTACAAAATAAGAAATGCTACCAATCCTTTGGTATTTGGCTACTTCTCTTTTTTTTGTATGCTTATTAATATTTTTATGTACTTCACTATTTTTACAATATTATTGGAATCGTCTAATAGATTAATAAAAAATATACTCTTCCTTTCGGTATAAAGTTTAATTTTTAAAGACTTGAATAATAATAAGCCAAAACAGTTCTATTGCAGAGAAAAAATAAATAAATGCAGTTGGTATATGCTATTCATTATTTTTTAGAACTCTTTTTTTTTAAATTCGACTACGAAAAAGTAATCTATATTCATTAGCATTAACAAAATTTTCAGTAACAAAAGTCATATGAAACATGTCAAATTCATCAAAAATTATAGATTATAGAAAAATTCTTTCGGAATTAAACCATTCCATTGATTTTTACCAATTTAATGACACTTATTCTACATAAAACATATTGTACAGATCAATTGCACCCGTGGAAAATATCTTGGTTTCATGGTCAACAGGAGGAGAAGGTTGGCACAATTATCACCATGTCTTTCCATGGGATTACAAAACTTCCGAGTTTGGCCATTATCCAATTGATATGAGCACTATCTTCATAAATACTTTTGCCAAAATTGGATGGGCATATGACCTAAAACAACCCTCGCCTGACCTTGTAAAATCAATAGTAGTCAAAAAAGGAGATAGGTCGCTCTTTGAAGTTCCTGTGCAGTTTAACAATTTCGAGTTATCGAAATCACTTTGATGCATTTATATTCTTAATTTCATTATTTTCCACTGCTTTCAATACAAATTTTATATATGTATATTGGTAAAAAAAATTTTATATATGTATATTGGTAAAAAAAACTTTATTTCTAAAATAATTTTTATTAATTTTTAACTTTACCTTATAACTCTTCTTTGTTAGAAAATTGTCAATTTCAACAATAATAATCAAAAAAATAATTTAATAGAATCAAAGTTTGAATAAAGCAACAACGATGTAAGATATATTGTTTCATTTCTCAATTATGATCAAAATAAAGCATATTTTTGTACGTAATATATTTGACAACTATACTTATGAATTTATAATATGTATAAAATGATAAGCCGTGAAAAACAAAGTTTTTACGATGTCAATAAAAAATAACGGTAGCTAATGATATTTGGAAGAAAATCGTCAACATTAACGATTCTAGTGTTTTATAACATATATAAGGGGTAAATTTTCAAGATGTATCCTGAAAAGGATAAAAATATTTTTTATGACTATAGCTATACAAACTATATTCAGTATATATTTTTGTTCATCTAGTACAGAATAAATTCTTGTACAACTTTATAAAATAAAAATTTGTTATGGAACTATGATTGTTAATTTCTTTACAGTATTTACTGTCGAATTTTCAATATATTCTACAGTTAAACTAATTGACAAGAAGGTTCGAAAACCTTTATTTTATAGTCTAGTCAATGTCTCATGAAAAAGCTCGGACTTTGAAATTAGTTATTCTTTATGATTTTGCAGAGTGATTAAAATAATCGTCTGTACACATACTGCAATGAGAAATAAGGTAATTATCTTTTGCTATAGTGATAAATATAGCGAAAATATGTAAAAAAGCAAGAACATTTTCAGACAATAAATATGTTTTATTACACATATATTCGTACAAGGGTTACATGATATTAATACATGTTCATTTAACTGTCCAGCAATTAAACACGCTGCATCTGTTTTTTCAGTAAGGGTTATGGATTATTTGAAGTTGCAGTTGTTGCTGCTTTGTTTTCTTATCTCTTTTGCTTTATAAACCACGTTTACAGCAGACTCGATGCGTAAGTAATAAACAATAAAAAAGACCACAGTGATAGCGCTCAGAATAAGTGTTTACGATAAACGATATTGTTGTTATTCATTTGTTGAAAACGATTGTTTGTGTTGTAATTTTGTTCATCACACAGATTTAAAGAAGTATGTCACTCTTAATTTTGGATTTTCATCGTGATGACAAGTTAATATTCAATTAGTAGTAAGTTGTTAAATTTTAATCAGGCTCGTCTTTGATAGTTCAATCTGGATTTGCAAATAATAAGCGAAGACAACGGGGTACAAGCCTCGAAGAAATAAATAAAAATACCAGTTATATATATATATATATATATATTCATGTATTGGTAAACAATGTTTTTATCCTTTGCAATTACTGTTTTCACGTAAATGTACGGCTTGTACAAAAGAAAATAACACACTCAAAAGAGAAAATAAATATATAAAGAAAAAAGTAAGGAAACGAAACTATAGGCTTAGCTCTGAGGACTTAAAATCTAAAATTATTAACCAAACCTTGGTGACCAGCACCAGACAATTGCTAGGTTCAATGTCTATGACACACACATCAATAATTACTTGTATTTCTTTTTTTTTCATAAACTATTGCAATTACGTCGGAGTTTTCTTTAGGTAATCTATGCACGATTTACTATTACAGATTTTTCTTGTTTGCGCTTCATGTTTTTTTTATATTTTTCGCATTACTGCGTCGACTTGTATGTACCAGATAAGTCGAACAACAATGAATGCATTAGTTTTTGTTCGTATGTCATGCGCGACTTTGTTTGTGCTTGATTCACAAATTTGTGGTTGATTCACAAGCTCCTCTCAGTTGACGGTACAGTTATGGTGATAATGGTTGAAACCGATAGGGTGTTTCATCATTCTCTTGTTCCGACGAGGAAATCCGATAAATGCATAGACATTTTTTATCAGCAATTTTGATGCAAGCAAAGAAAGGTATGTGAATCATCCTATATCCCTCTGTACGCAAGAATCGAATGAAATGTTTCGTAATATCTTGTGAATTTCAATTTAAATTTAACCTTTTTGTACTTTTCAAAATTATTCAAGTAAAGTATTTGCTTCAAGTCTAATAATGAAGCAATTGGTATCAGAGTTTGAAGCGTATACTTTCAATTGTTTAATAGTCATTGAGACTGTCACAACAGTAAAACACACGATATGGTATACGCATGACGTCAAGTAGTTTCCACTAAAATTGTTATTCAATGATAGAAAAAACTATCAACTTCCAATTTCTGCTGATAAAATTGATTTAAAAAGCATTATGGTCATTTAATACTTGAGCTATAAAAAGAAATAATATTTAAATGATTTTTATAAAAAGATATAAAGGCCTGATTGTGCACTAAGACTGGCGAAATATTAGACAGGGAAGCTGTATAAAAGTTTAAGAATGTTTGTAGTTGTTGCGGCATATTGCATCCGACTCTTGCCAAGGACTTGCTGCTATTACATACCAGTAATAAAGGTTGGTTCACCGTAATCACTCTTGCATTATCTTCACACGAAAAGTGGACTAATGGAATTTTCATGACCGCCAACGTGCAATGTGAGAGAAAGGATTGTTCTATCTGCGCATTACCTTTGATTCTTACTTTTTGTCGAAATTCTTGTGTTTGTTTTCTTAAAAAACGACTATAACCGCGAGATTCGCACTTGTCTACGACACTGTACATCATTCGCCGGTGCTGTGTTTTTATGTATATGTATAAAGATTGTTGCCACTTTACTTATGAATTAATTTTAATACAAACCTGAAAGGCCAGCTTTTATGCAGTTATATATTAAAATTAATTACTTGCCGTTTCGATGAGAGAAAGTAAGGGTTAATAAAAATATATAGTCTAACAAAAGAGGAAAAGAAACAACAGACGAATCGCAATCTGTGCGCGAGCCTATAACATTTTATCATCATGTATATCCTTACTTAAACTCGTACGCTGACGTACAAGTTGAATTCTGTCGTAACCTCGGTTGGATCGCCGCGGGCGACCCACCAAATTATATATATATATCTCGAGCACCATAGTATGAGCAATCCAGACTGTAAGTTTTCACTTAATTTAATTATATACTTTCGAGAAACTTGTTGCTACCAATTTGTTGGGCGACAGAGCTGTTTGCTTGGCTATCATCGAGTAAAACCCTTAAAAACGCCCTTACACGATTGCGATAAATTTTCATTGCGTAAGTAGCTTATTTATGCAGTCGATGTTTTGATGCTTTGCAGAATTGGAAATTTAAAAGATCTTTTCTTGCAACGACTCTGTTTCCCAAGCAGTTCCATTTAGAAGACGCAATTGAACCAAACGCAATGTATATTTAAGCTGTCTGTCGAGTAAAAACGCTTCCTGCTTCCACGTCGGCACCCCGACAGCTAATCTGATATATTCTCTATGTATTTTAACTTATCGTCTAAAAAGTTGCTTAAACTCGTTCCACATCAAGCGGATAAAACATTTTGGACGCTTCGATATACCGACAAGTCGCTGAAGATTCAATCTATGAATAATAATCTCTTTTCTCGATACTGGACGCTATTCCGTATTTATAAACGATATTTTGTGATATGTCGACAGAAAGTAGGTGTGTACGTAACCCCTGACTATATAATAAGAGACTTTTGGAAGAAACGTAAGCGCTGTCCCAAGCGAATTCTCTCTCACTCTCGTTCCCTCTGTGACTATGGCTTGTTGAATGCTCGTGACTCGGGGTGCGCGACCTCACTACTTATTATGCTAAAAATTTCGCTTCGATCCTGCCGCTTAATTTTTGTACACGATCACCGCAGCTTGGCTCTTCTGCTTATTATCGGCACGCACGTTCCCATTTCCCGCTCGTTCTCTCCGGCTCGGCATCTCGGTAACGCTCAGTGCTTGCTTGCTTGCTTACTTACTTTATGCGTTTGGCATCTTGCTATCGATTCCCGAGCGTTCACAACGAGCGTTCACAACGAGCGACGCGAGCCCTATCGAGGAGCCTTCACGTGTACACCAATATACGAACTTGATCTCTCGTTGGCTGGCTTTCTCTTTCGACCTCGTTGCACAAGCCTCGCGACGGACAACACAGAACTGCCTTATCAATGGGGCTTTTTCTAAGCGCAAGACGGATATCACTCGGTTTGCCTTGTCTTTTTCGCGCGCGCGCGCCGCAATTCTCCACGTAATTGTCCAATTAAAATACGATGATGTAACGTTCTAACGAAACGTCACGCGCTCTATATTAATTCATCTTAACAGCTTCGGTCCAGCCGAATACTCGCTCGTACCAACGAACAAAAAAAAAACGATCATTTGGCTTCGTCTATGCGCTTCTCGCTTTGTTCATTTTTAAAAATTTTTCTTCTTTTTTTTTGTTGTTTATAAGGTTTAATTTTAAGCTCGTCCTCGTGCGTATTCACGCGCACTCATAAGACAGTTTGCGCGTTTCTCGTGTACTCGTGTGTGCGTGTGAAGTAGTGTAGGTTGACATAAACGTCAGTCGACCAAATCGGCTTCTCCATAGGCTCAGTCTTGGATGGGATTGACGGGTTGAGATATGACGGTGCTGTCCGTCTTCGTTCTCGCCTCGTCGCGATCAATCATCGTTCTGCTTATGTGTGTGACGGGTGTGTTCGGGGCCATATCTGTCTGTATACGTTAAAGGGTATATGGTGACTCGGATCAAATATACGAGGATGACCGAGGTGCACGGAGCTGAACGGAAGCGGGGGCATTTGCGAGGTGAGCCGAAGGCGGCGGCCTTTGAATCGACGCTCGCAGCGATCATTAAATATCACTGGCGCACGCGCCACCAAGTCTGCTGTACTTTCTCGACGAGCTTTTTGCAGAAGCCAGCGAGTCTCCGTCACATTCCAGCATCGCCCGGTACGTCCTCGGAGTCGCTGTTGCCCTGGTCGGCCGACATGCTACGGGCCTTCTCCGGAGTGCCGCACTCGTCGTCCTCCTCCAGCGTCTCCTACAAACGGATTACTGAGGTCATTGCACTTGTACCGCCAAGCTTCGGAGATAGAGCTAGCGCTTCTCACCTGGTAGTGTATCCGCTCGTCTAACTGTTGGTCGGCCGAGTGGGCCGAGATATCTGGAGGCGGCGAGGGCGGTATCATCGACTGGTACCAGTCGCGGTTCTCCTCAAGGGTGTCCAGTATCTCCTGGGCGTCGGGATGCACGAGATCTGCCCAGGTCTCCCAGAGCGGGTGCACGATGTAGTCGATGAAGCCCACCTGCGACTTCTCGATCGTCGCGTTGTGCCGGTCGCACATAGGGCTTATGTCCATGTTCTGCTCGCGTTCCTTGTCGCCCTGCTGGAAGAACTCCTCCATCAGCAGGTCCACCCAGCGCCGATACAGCGGCAACGGCTTCGTTGGGTTTGACAAGTCCGCGCAATGCACCAGATTCTCCAGTACCTGAATCAACCGTCCTTTATTGCTATCTGTCCTATCACCTTTGTCACATCTACCTTGCTCAATTTACCTGGATTCGGTCAGTGTAGTTGTCGAGTAATAGTACGCCAGAGCCAGCGACCTTCTTCGTCTCCACCATGGTTTTCAGGTCAGCCAGAAGAGACATGTGCTTCGACATATCGGTCGACAAAACCATGTCGATCACCATCTTCCGAAGGGTTTGGCGCTGCTTTTTCGTGCAGTTCACGAGGATGTCGCAACCTTCATTTTGGAGCAGTTTGAACGCGACTGCCAAATGATGATTCTCCAGCACGGATTCGTCGTTGTACATCAAAGCTAATTCTGAACCTGTAGAAGCAAACTCGCATCAATATTCAATTTTCATGAGCGCTAGATTCTGCTCCCATCAGGGATCACAGAACTGCATGAACAGCCTGCGAGCAGTCGGTTGCGCTTTATCTTGCTTTATCGTCTACGCGAGGCGCTTTACTTTTAGACAGCCATGCGGTTTTGTGTCGCCTGCTAAGGTCGCATGATTATTTCTTTGCGGAGGTATGTGAGAAAAGATGGCAAATACACACTGCGTCAAATGCATAACGCAGTGTCCTTTATCTACTTTGCTGCCTGGGTAGATAATGTACTATTTCTCATTGAGATACGCATACTTACTTGAGTTAATGAGAAACTGATTAGTGAGACCAGGATGATCGACATCATGAATGGTGGCGGCGAATAGAGCAGCTGTTATCTCTAACGGCGTAAACACAGACTAAACAATGGAAAATAATTAATTAATATTGTGACATAGAAAATGATGGCTCGTAGAACATTTCAATAAATTTTTTACAAATACTAGCTAAAAGATAGTTTTTCTTTAATTTTGAAAAAGCACGATAACGTTCAACAGTTGTTATGGCAAATTGCTTATATATTGCGAGCTAAAAAGTCTTTATTTCAAAGTTATATATGAAAATAAATATCCTACAGGTGTTATCGTTTATTATGCAGTGCTTACGAACTAACGATGTGTTATTTTAGAAAAGAAAATTTGCAACTTGTTTTGACGCATTTATAAATGTTAAGTCAAATCCTACTATAAAACGTCTAACCTAATCGAACACAAAACTACATAAACAGAAGCTTACAAATGATTGTGTTGATTGGTATTTGAGACGTTATGTAAGCACGTGTTCCTTAATCAATTCAAACGAAGATGAACAATTTATGGTATCTCTGTAAACGATATCACTCTAAATAATTCAATGTTATCAGTGTACCACGCACAAGTGCCCTTAGGAGTTTACTGAACTATTCTAAGGTATTTCGCTTCTTCCTCATCTCAATATGCAGTGGGCGAACTATTTTGCCTGAAGCTATAACTGTCTTGCGATATATCAGTTAAATTGTGTATTCAATGGGATATATTTTATCATAATTATGTTGAAGATTCAAAATTCATGTTTCCACTTTGTAAAAATGAAGCTTTTTATAAGGGAAAGCAAAATGTTTCGTGATACACTACACTTATATTGACTAAGTATTTGCAGTAGTTAAATAAGATTCTGTATGCTCAAGTTACTTTCGTAATTAACTGTCAAGAAACCGTACGGGTGCACATCGACGAGGAAAAGCAAGTGACGTTGCAAGATAAATACAGCAGCGTGAGTAACTTATGACGAAGTCAGTGTAGATTGAAGTTCTTTTACGTTCATGATTTTTACAGCATTTTATAAATGTATATAATCAGGAACTATTATTGGAGCAACATCCTAGCGATTTTCTATATCTAGAGGTGGTCATGTATAGGTGCGGCGAATGAGTAGCAAATAGGGGTAGGAGATACCTAAGTAAGCGAGCACCTACCTCGAGAGCAGGAGTATTGAGCAAGGTATGGGTGGACTGAGTAACATCGGCTGCGTGGAGGCTGTTGTGGAACGGATTATCCTTGACGTAGTGATCCTCGAGTGTCATCATGAAGGTGACGAAAGTTTTCGGTGGTATCATGATGAGCTTGAGCAGATTCCTGCTCTGGAAGGCCGTGTAGGCGACGCAGGTCAGCGGCCTGTTATTGCTAAGTTCGCCTATCCTGAAGATGTCAATGCCCCATTTGTCGATTTCGCTCAGCAACTGAAAACAACAGAAGCCAGATAAATCGATAGCTCGAGCGCGAGTTTAATGATTCAATAGTTGCGTTTCTTCAGAGTTGAACGTGGGGAGTAAGTATCGATTGGGAAAACGGATTTAAAGGTATTGCAGGAATAAAGGGACGCTGAGCTAATAGAAGCGACTAACACGTTGTCTATTATTGTTGCGCTTCGGACCAAGAATAGTGACCGAATTCGGCGACAATCGAAAATTGATAGAGTTATTTGATAAAGCTTGGGCTTATCTCATATAACAGTTAGGTTGGAATGGAACGGGAACTTTCGTGACTGGAAACAGTGAGATCAGAGAGCAGCTCGCTCCGGGGGTTGAATGGAGATTGATGGAGAAGCAATGGCCAGATATAGATAGATGCACAAGAGTGAGATCGAGGATTTGATATACCTTGCCGAGTTCCTCCTCGTGGGGTGTCTCCACGCCGTAGAGGGGCACGCGCTCGCCGGTGAAGCTGTTGGTGTGGGTGAGCGGCCGCTTCACACCACTTATGTGCGACATCGCGGCTGGTCCCCTCTGCACTCGATCCTTCTTCTTTGCTACCCGAGCGTCCATGCTACCCGGCACTTGCTCGTCGATCCGCAGCGACGGCAAATCCAGCTCTTGCTGTTTGTCTGCAACATCATCCGAATGTCAATACTCCGTTCCACCCATTCGTCAACCAGCGGAGCTTTGCCGCTACTTTACTCAATTGAACATTTTGTGCGGGTCTTGAAAAATACTTTGTTCATACTATTTTGTTCATACCATTACCCCTTCGATAGAAAATAAAATTGACCTGAAAACGCTGACCCATAACGCAAATTTAATAGATTGAATTAGTCAGTTTACTGCAAATATTTTTTCCCAACCTTTAAAGTTGCCACAGTTTTTACCGAAAAAAATCAAAGGATATATTTTTCCTCTGCTGAAAGGATTGGTTTTTATTTTTTATTTTTCAAGTTATTTCATAAAACTCTGATATTGCTTTGTAAGTTATTTTTAATTGAACGCGTTGTAAAGTAAGTAGCTTGGATCAATACCGAATTGCAAAGTGGAATAATTAAAAGTTCGAGTGGTTAAAATTCTGAGAAAGGGCAAAAAGAAATGAGCAGAGCCTCGGAAATGTCGTTTGACGCCTTGAAATACGTAGCAGGTTGACAATAACGTTGCAGCCCCCGTAATTCCACTTCAATTTTCCAACTCGTAAACTTGACGGAGAGGTGGATTTTGGTCTGTGCAGCAGTAGCAACGCTAGCAACAGTCTTTGAAGAATCAGTAACAGACGTATCTAACTGGCGTAAATTACGTGCTACATAGCTGCTGCTCTCTATATAAATACAGCCGGTGTTCTAGCCGACGTGGTGAGCATTGCGTGTGCAGGCAACGCTTGGTCGCTATCGCAAAGAGCAAGTTGATTCTTCGGGGAGTCTGGTGCCGCCCGACGTTACGGAAGGCTCGTCGAGAGTTCGGATGGGACTTCTCTCTAGAGAACGCGCGCCTCCGGTTCATGCGAATTCCCCGAATTAACATTCTGCGATCTCGTCCTATTTGTTCTCTCGGCCGCTGATGCAGTTCTTTCTAAAAATGCGCTCACCTCGCACCTTTACCCGAAGACACTTCAAAATTTCTCTTTTAGCCATTTTCCGCCTGTCATTTGTCAAACTTGCTTGTCAACCTGTCGTACGTACCCTTTAACTTTTTAGTCCGTTACTCTTTCCGATATATGCTTCGCATATTTTCTCTGTCGCATCAAGTCGTTAATTATAATATCACGCTATTCGCTTGATAGGCAGCGTAGGTACGGTTCGCACTTTCACAGTTTGAGAGATTAATTAAATTCCGTAATTTTAGAAAGCTGCTGGGACATACGGGACGAATATACGGAAGGGCTGAGGTGAACTTGATTAATGTACTGAACCGTAATTAAGTTATCGCGTAAGTTTAAACACCCTCAGAAATTGGATGCTATCTGAAATTACGCTTTGCAAATAGCGTATCGCCCTTCGAAGAAACCTGCAATTTTGGTCACCTAACTTTCAAAGGTCAACTGTTCAAGTTTTATTTCGAAACAATTGTGCTTCATCAGGTAATGCACCTTCAAATTAAAAAATACAATACTCTAACACTCGGACAAGGCCGATATTAAAGAAAAAAAATAGAACAGTAGGTGGATGGAATAGTGTCGGCGAAAGCTTTTAATTAAAAACTCGAAATTAAATTCTCTCGTAAGCTTTGATTTCCTACGCAGGTACAGTAAAAGCTTTTAAACTACGAGTGTGGGTAATTGATTTTCCGAGTCGGTTAAAAACTTAGAAAGTAACGAAGTTGCAGGTTATAATAAACTGTCGTTCTTTTGCGTTAGCTATCGATGTGACACGTGCTATATCAATGCCCACGGCAGCGAGCCAAGAGCCTCCACTGCAAGCTGAGCGCGTGCGTTCGAACGAGCAGAGAGGAAAAAAATGGTATTTTACGACGAGACAGGTCGCGCGCGCGTTCAAATCAAATTGGCTGTCGCGACGAAATTGCATAGTTGACCGAAAAAATGCGTTTGACAACGTTTTTAATCACTTGCGGGTTCAGCCTCTCGGCCGCCGTGCGAGCAAATCGTTCTATGCGCATGGAATCGAAGGCCCGGAGCCAGATAGCCATTTTACATTGCCGACAGACACGAAAGTCTTCGTTGTTCAGAATACAATGTATTTCGATATTTTATTTTACGCTTGATTTAAATATGGCTGTTAGTAGTAGACACGTCGACTTAACTGCCCGCACTCCCTCAGTTTCACGTCGCATTAAGCTTTCCATTAAGCCGCTGTCGTGTCGGCACCAAGCCACGGCACGCACTCGTTCCCTTAATATTCACGTTTAGCTACCGCTGACCTGTTATTTTGCTTGGAGCTTTTAGCGCTTGATATTTTTCGTCTGAAATGCTGTCTGACTTGCACTGATTTTCATTCGTTGTGACTCGGCTGGTGAGCACGGAACGGTACGTTAAATTCTAAATCAGCTTTGTTCGCCAACGTGCAATCATGCGAACGATGGACTCATTCAAGTGTTTGAATAGTAATGATATTTAAGCACAGCCTTGAAAGAAAAATTAAGGTGCCAATCGCGTCTTAGCGAAACAAAGTAAACAATTTTACTTACCGAGGAAAGTGTTGCACAAATATTCGGAAATTTGATTTCCAGACTTCGAAGATTCAGAGAAGTGCGACAATTCTTTGTTCAGCATTCTTTTGAACTGCAAAAAATTAAATTTCATTACAATTTAGTAAGAAAACTTACGTTTTGTTTAACGTAACGATCATACTAGTTCATTAATTTTAATAGAGTATCAATAATACAAATTTACCAATCATAGAACAACGATAAAAATAACAGTTACAACTAAAGGTTAAAGCAATTCACGATTTTTTATTTTGACTCAGAGTAATTTAGAGATGATACAGTTAAATTAATCAAAATACATTCGAAATGGTTGTTGTCAGTGACAGAAAAGTTTCTGGCTCTGTAAGGGTGCTCTTACATGAGAGCGGAAAGCAGACAGAGCGGCAGCGGATAGCCGATTCGAGCAGACAAAAAGAGAAAGTTTTGTCCGCTGCGTCCCTAGCCGGCGTCTGCGTGGTGCATCTCTCTTCCCCCTCTCCTCTTATTTATAGCGTCCCTTTCTATTATTCTAAACATGCTATAATTATAATTTTTCGACACTCCGTGCTTATTTTCCGCAGAAAGTGCGTTTTTCCCGCACGCTCGGCAAAAAATGTGCGTTGAACCCTCGCTTCGCTCGGCCATAAACGCCACACAAGACAAGAATCTATTTTCCCGCACTTGTATCGTAATGTACTAATTCTCGACAATATTAATTTATAATATATAACAAAATTATAATTATAGCATGTTTAGACTAATAGAAAGGGACGCTACAAATAAGAGGAGAGGGGGAAGAGGGATGCACCACGCAAGACGCCGGCTAGGGACGCAGCAAAGAGCGTCTGTCCGCTAGCGGACAAACTTTCTCTTTTTGTCCACTCGAATCGGCTGCTTTCTGCTCCCGTGTAAGAGCACCGTAACGCTCACTCGTAGAGAGTATTGTCTACATAGCTATAGTAGATATCGGCATGGAATTTTTTTGCTATTGATTTTCTATTAGCTGTTCGAGTTAATTACTCAATTAAAGAAGAGTGAAAAATCGCTCTTATTATACTGCGAATTAAGTGGAGAATAATCGACATAGAAATTAGACAGAAAACCAAACGAATAACAAACTGTGTGTATAAGTTATATAAGTTTAAGCCAATTTCTGAATTATATTGTGTTCACATAGTGCTGCCAAAGATATATGCCGTACAGTTGTTAGTATTGTAACGAAGAGAATGAGCTTCGGTTCTTATTTCACACTCGCTTCACATTTATTCCTACGAATAATAATTGACTCGACGCGAAAAGTAGGAAAGTATTTTGTAGCGCAACGCCCGCATTAAAGAAAAAATAAGTAGACGGAAAATAAAGTAAGTTACCTGAAAGGGGGTAAAAACAACCCGGAAGTCAAAATGTATTTGTTCCACGACGGTACTCGCAGCAAGAATAATAAAGTTGAGAGAATGGCAAGCTGAAGAAAGGAATGGAGAATGGAGATAGAATTTTTCGCGAAAAATGCTGATTGCGTAGAGTGGGGCCCGAAAAACGAGAATTTAGCAATGCGACGTCGAACAAGGCAAAAGCTTCTCCTTTAGCGCCGTAGGTGTAGCCACGAGGGAGAAAAGAAACTCAGCGAACGCAAGAGAGAGAGAGAGAGAGAGAGAGAGAGAGAGTAAAAACGAGATTTGACCCGACAGAGTCCCTCGGAATACAGGGCTAAGGTGTCCAGCGTATATCGCGCGTGTGCAACTGTGCACCACGTCCCTACACGAGTATAAGCGCTATCTATGGAGCAAGTTGGCTATTGTGTTGCACTCTCACCCAGCTCGGCGGTTCTCGTGTCATTCTTCTCGAACGATATACGTAACTATTGAGAATATTCGCAATTTTCACTGTGCGCAAAATATGACATTCCAAAAGAAAAGAAAATTAAAAATGTTTAGAATGAAAAAGCAAGAAAATAGGTCAACACTGCAGAGCTTTATTTGTGTGCCTCTATCATTTTATTCTAAGAATGTAGCACCTCGTCGGGGTAGCTGAGAAATAAAAGATCAAAGTCCAATACGAAATGAAAAAAATATCTAGAAATGCATAAGAAACAATATGCCGCGCTGAATTTGAAAGTTGTTTAATATAAGAAGAATCGTGAAAATTGTCGCTTGCGCGTGGACAATGAAAAGTTGGAAAGCGTGGTACAACGCGTAGCGTGCACCTTTCATACATAGATATAGAAAACGCGAAGCCGAAGCTATTTGAGCAAATATTCATGATAGTCCGGAATGAAGCCGTTAAAGAAGAGGGGATCCGATTAGCTTCCGTCGAGGCGACTGGCACAGTGAGAGCACGGGTCGAGATGGAATTAATCCGATAAATAAGTACGTGCAGTTTGCAGGAGTCGAGTGAAAATTAAAGCTGTCCCTGAAACGGGACAAAGGCGCCAGAGTCTTTAACTGTTACTAGTAGATGGAAAGAATGGAGTCCAACAGTCAGCTACGTCGTAGCGCTTTTCACTATCTGACTTTCTTCAAGATTAAACTCGCGCGTCGGTACGTTCCGCATCGTAAAAACATATCGCGCGCAACCCTCTTCGGACATTCCTCGAGAGCAACGACGCTCGTCACTTACGCAAAAAACTGGAATTAGCTCAAACACTTTTTGTCTCCGACCTTTTTATCAAACTGGCTGTTGCAACGTCGTACTCTCCATAATAACATTCAATTACCTGTTTTCTCAATAGTACTGACCTTATTTTTATTTCCACTTTTAATGCTTTAATCGACCCATAAAAATATCGATTAGATTCTTCACTTAATACAGCTCATTACTCAGAATAATTTCCAACTCGGCTAAATTTATACATTGTACCACTGGCATTATTAATTAGCGCATCGAATTGTTAGGCGAATTTACGTGTCCGCGTTCAACGACACCCTCTACATTTCATAATTAGGATAATACTGACGAGTGTATCTCAATTGCCTCTGGGAATTTCAAATAAACTCTTAACTTTTAATTGTCAATTAGAACTTTGTAATTATAAAGCTTTTATCAATCAAAGCGTATATACACGTATGTTATAAGCTTTGACGACAGATCAAAATAAATAGAACAATAGAATCTACGAAGATCGAATTCATGTGTTCATTGTAATAATGAAATACAATTGTATTGGAATAATATCGAGCTATTGTCAAGATGATTGAATTATTGAACAAAACATTAGGGATATTCGTAGTATGAATGATACAAAAGCTATTTACCTTCAATGATGCCATGTCGGACACGGATCGATGAGTTTGAATAGTTTCCAACTGATCTAAACACCAATCAAGTTCCTCCACAGTCTCAACAGCGAGTTTCATGTAGGGCTCCTCTGCAAGCATCAGACAAGATATTAAATCACTGCTTTTCTCTTTGCAGATAACGTCAGCTATTGCCGTCGCAAATTAAAACCTGTCTGTCGGAATCAGTGCGTTTGCACCCTTTAGTTATTTTTTTTATACTTCAATATCGACCAATAGGATTTAGTTTTGCATCTATTGTATATTACTACTTGAAAAAAGAAAACTATAGCTATAGAAAAGCAGTAAACCTATCTCGTAGATTGAGCATACTTATTACGCACTTTACGATTGTAGTAATAAGAGGCAATAATATTCAATTCCATTACCAGTCAGTGACGCACCTAATAGAAAAAGACGTATTTTTAGAATAAAACATATTTATTCGTATTGGTAAGAAGTACGGTTTTTATATACTTTATGCAACTGTAATACGTTAAAAATATTTATGTAGACGAAAAGAAAGATGATATTCAAGCTTTGTTAATTCTATTCTCAAAGGAAAAAGTGCCCGAGTTTTATGAAAAGTTCACGAGGAAAACATTTTATTCAAAGTTATGGAAACATAATGGTATTATTTTTTACCTCCAGGGGCAAAGATCCGTGGCTGTGGCGTAGTGCTGCCTTGAGCGCCGCTACTCCTTCGAAATCTTAGACAATTGAAAGAAAAATGTCAATATAAGATTGAAAAATTAATATGAAGATAATATTTTTATATTCTATGAAATAATAATTAAGAAATCGAACATCCAAAGTAGATATGAATATTTTTTGTTAAGTAATACTGATCAATGACAAACACAACTTATTATTGGAATCAGTATTTTTATCATTTTATTATGCATAGATTTCATTCGATTATTGAATATCATAAAAAAACTTGGAACCATATTAGATTCTATGTAAATTTCTCGTAAATAATCGTGCAAATGGAGCGAGAAAGTAATGCAATTTTCGATCAAGAAGCTGGGAAGATACCTTATGAGTTATTGGCTTCCATAAAGCCAATCTTCCCACGCCACTTACGTGCCTCCTTTTGGACAATTCGATTTCTCGTTATATCCAAACTAGAGTTAACTGTACTATTTGTCAAAGCGTGATTAATATTCAACTTGGACTCGCACCAATAAAGCTGAGCTGAAATTACTTTTTCTCGTATATACTCACTAGTACAATATAGAAATATCATTATGAATGCATTGTTAAATTGAAAAAAGTTTGGAATTTAACGAGATAAATTACTTGAAGTCCGAATCAAATCATTATTTAGACGTTACTTCGTACTAATGCCTAAAAGTAATAAAATTAGAAGAAACAAAGAAACGTCGAACAAAGAATATTTTTGCAAAGCTTCAGTAAACTTGAAGGAAGTCTTTAGCGAGAATCTACACCAAGTTTCCACGATTTAGCTCTTTTATTTAGCGAGATAAAAGTTTTTGAATTCAAAAACCCTCCCGCTGCCGCAAGTTTCACGAAGAAATTCAAGTTTGATAGCCAGAAAATATATTGAACTACGTGCAGTGTTTTACGATTTAAAAAATGTTACTCTCATATACAGCAGAATTTTTATTTGGAGCAAGTATACGTCAGATTTTTTTATCCAAGAAAAAACAAGAGAAATCGATAATTCAATTCTTTTCCGATAAAGTTTAGTTACATTGGAAATGTAGGAAAAATATTAGTTACAATTCAAAATGGTAGTTACTATGGCAGTTGGAAACGTTGGTGTGAAATATATAATTAGTAATGTCAAAACACTTACTTGTTCGTTGGTACATTGGTGAGAGACAGGAAGTTGTTTCTAACCGAACGTAGTGACGCAAGTATTTGTGCGAAGGGCGTAACAATGAGGTCCTCACCGTGACTGTAATTAAAAGATGCTTTTTTAATCGACTTTGATCTTTGACGATCATTAGTGCTATTTGCGTGGCATCTAATGAGGCTGCGTGTAATTTGCTTTCGTGTTAATTTAATAAGTCGTGAATGGCTGCTGGGGTTTACGCTCTAAGGGTTACAATGGGGGAGTTTGAACGCTCGTACATGCAGGTATAAATTTCGTGTATGCTGGCTTCTCCATTTCGTATCACGTTACACTATCGATCACATATTATTATGATCTATAAATGCCTACGCCGCAATTGCATTATTGTTTTTCTAGAATTCAATATACACGAATGCACGTTAATCGTGCTGCAATTTTCTAGCTGCTATGCAAATGTATGCTAAGCATGTTTGCCATCGAATTTACCGGATTTAGAAGTTTTAGGACATTAACACTCTCTGATTAAACTCTTTTCCCGAGCAACCTTTAGTTCAAAACTTTTAAATCCAGTTTTCCAGTTCAATGTTTGTCATGTTCCGAGTACTTTAAAATATGTGTCTTGATGATAGTGCTAATGTTTTACACAACTAATGGAATACATTAAATTACGAGTATCAAATGATTTCTTACATTTTGTTAACAACTATCATATGTTTCATTTTGTCTATGTTGTAAGGTGCATAGTTGCAATAACTACGATATCATTCTTTATTAATCTAATAAATTGCAAACAGTTTACGGTTTAAGACGATCAAATATTAGTTATTTTTTATTCTTATTATTTTCTTATTTATTGATGCCACACGATAAAATAAAATCATTTTTATTTCACTTCATTAGTATATTTTTGAAGTTCATCGCTCTTTCATGAAAAAATTAAATTTACATATTTAACTTCTTCTCTTAAAAAATATAAACAAATGAATGAATGATTATATCGATAATTACTTAGAGGATCCGTCCTTGAACATTTACGGAAATACATTTCATTTATTATAAAATATCCTTCACAGGGTATTCATAAAAACAAAATATATTCACAGAATTGTATCCCCTTTCGATATAATATACTTGATGATTTCGTTACTCTTAAAAACTGCTTTGTTTTCCGATGTAAAATGTTCATTTTTGTTAATCGACCAAATGGCTTTCATAAAAGATACCACTGAAAAAACGTAGATGGTTGGTTCTGAAAAATGTACACAACAATGCACTACAAATACACTACAATGTGTATTTTCAATAATAACTAAAAAGTTTTCATGTCGTAAAACGCAAAGTACGTCGCCGAAAAATTGGTACCCTGGTACGCGCAAGAAGGATATTAGGTAATTTTATAGGAAAATCAAGGACTCGTATAAATTTTTCTAGTTTTACAGATAATTTCAGGAACGATTATTTTCAGCTAGTATTTGGGTGAAGCAACAAAGCTCGAGATTACATGAACGAGTTCGAAGCTTGGATATTTTGTAATAAGTGCATTTACTCATATCCAGGGAAAAAAGTTTTCAATAAACTTGATAAATTGCAAAGATTCCAAGAGTATTTCTCAAGCTTGATGTTTGCAAGCTTGGGAAAGCATTCATTGTATGATGAAAATGCAATGAATTACTTGGAAAATGGATTGATTGGCCTAAATTTAAAGGATGAAATATCGAGTCTTAAGTTAAGGCAGGCCAGAGAGAGATGGGAAATGAAAAATATTGCATCAAAGGAGTTGAAATCCAAGCGCAGAAATATCAGGAAAATCGGCTCTAGTACGCGCGTATGTTGGTGGTTAAAGCTATTTGAAGATGCAGTGAATGCTCTCGGGAAGAGAGGGAGGGAGCAGATAAGACAGCGGGGGAGGACGAGAGCATTAGGAGCCATTTCTTTCTGTCAATGGGATTAAGTGAGTTGGCGGGTGCCGCGTGGGAGAAGGTTGAGCTTGGCGGGAGCAGGTATACCCGGGCATAGACTATTCTCAGCAAGCGACGTTGGATTTACACGAATCCACGCGCTCTCGTAATTAGCATGAAGCTGCAGTGCTGCCGCACTGGTTAAACAATGGCAGCGAGCAATCGGGTATAAACTTTGAAATAACGACGCCGTGGCTGTGATCACGGAGCTCGGATTATGCTCTGGCCGTGCCTGGACTATGCCAAGTAGCCTATAGCGCATCACAACCTAGCAATTTGGTCAAGTGTCTACTCGCTCTTTTGTTTTTCTTTACCCACTCGTTTCTTTCGCGCCTCTTTGCGCCCGCATCCACGACGATAGCTATATTGTTCAACAAAACTAAAAGCCTTACCAAATGGCTAGCGTTATATGCTTCATTGCGCATTCTGCAGCTGTGCACCGAGTAAAAGCTGCTTGCTATCACGCTGCTCCTTTGTCGTATTTTCAAACAAGCAAAACCGCCCTCGTATATTTGGTAAAGCGACAAAGAGAGAGAGAGAGAGAGAGAGAGAGAGAGAGAGAGAGAGAGAGAGAGAGAGAGAGAGAGAGAGAGAGAGAGAGAGAGAGAGAGAGAGAGAGAGAGAGAGCGATGACGCGATGGCAAACCGAATCGAATCAAGATGCGCCAGGCTGGCCCGACCAATCGATAAATGGGGCTTGCGTTACACACGCCGACGTTGGTGTTGCTTTGCACACGTGTGTTCACGCACACAGCGATGCTCCATCTATATATACAATTGCTATATAGAGTTTTGCCAAACGTCAACGGGAGGCTGCGCGCAAGCGCCACTGTGCGGCTTCTTCTTTACGCAAGGCTTCCTTCCTGCCTCCCGGCTAAATTTCGATTTTCCGCCTGCCTTGCCAATGTATACCTTGTCCTGCGCGCACTGTTCAGTCTTCCCCACCACACACTGCTAATCTACATAATCGTTATCCTTTTCTTCGAGCGCTCACGTTCGCAATTTCCTTCGCGACGCCGACATTTAATTCGGCATAAGACTAGCGCATAAGTCCCGGAGCTAGACGTCAAGAATCGCTGAATTTGTAAGTCGGGCAAGTCGGATTTCGAGGCAATGTCGTTCGGCCACTTGTTCGCGTGATGATAAACTGCCTTATTACTTGTATGGTGCTACTAAAATAGATGTTAATTGTGGGTAATCGGTGCGCACGGTGCGAAGCGACCGTGGCACTTTCTAACAGATAACTTTTATTGCTGTACGTACTCTGCTCTTATCTTTCGCCGCTTTGTTCATTCCGCTCTCCGCGTGATTGAAATCCCTTCAATCGGCCAATTTACGATCTCTCCCTGAAATTTCACGATCAGGTCAAACTGATTGAGTCATGCGACTACGCGAACGACACCAGCGAAAGACTAGGCGAGCATCGCGCTTGTACGCGGTCGCCACAGTCGAACTTATATTTGGCGGATCGACGAGACGGCGCTTTATTTTTAGCGCGCGGGCGAGCGGGTTCGCGCTTCGAAATTTCAAGCGGTACACGTGTGCTATTCGCGCGTGTAAAGGCGAATCCCTAAAGCGCAACTAGGTTGGAATTTGCATGGGTCAGCGATCAGGAGCGGTGTGGATTTGCGAATTTCTCGTCTTGCCGTCTAACGTCTGGTCTTGCAGCAGCTGCGCGGTCCTCTATCGATTGCGCACTACGATCCCGGCGGTGCAGGGTCGCCATAAAATCGAGCGCGAGACTTTACGCGACGAGCGCGCGAACGCAGCGGAATAAATTGTAATCCGCGCACACGGCGTAATCCCGTGAGCTGTGGGCGAGATTTTTGCCGTGCGGTGAATCCGTGCTGCAGGCTAGCCACCAGCCAGGTATCGTAACAAATCGCGCTGAACAACCAACCGACGTGCGAGCCCTTTCTCTTATTCAGTCGCGATCGCGCGTACGAGTGCAGCCGTTTCAACTTGGTTCCGCTGGCCTCGAGCGCGGCGTGCACCCCTGACGGCAAACTCCTGTTGAGGTACCAGGCGGCTTGCGAGTCAAGAGCTACACGCATCGGCCAATGTCTCTGCTGCTCTGCCTGATTAACCATCTCCCTCATTACCGCCAGGCTCATTACTCCACTTCCTTTATCCGAGCGCTTCCTCCCGCTCTTGCTCCCTTTACGCCACAGCACACTTCTGCGCGAGCCTGATTCGACCTACTGTGTTATACGTACACTCGAGAGCCCTTGAATTTCTAATTACGCACTGCGCACCTGTCTCCCGTCTCGTTACACGCATCACTGTTAATCATTACCGATGTACTCGTCTGCTACTACTCTCGGAGAGCCAAACTTTTCAATCCCCTTGATGTAAGAGTCACTTGTGCTTGTTAAGTAGTTAATCATGTACAGTAGTAAACTCAACGTCGTACACAGTCACTTCTAGTGGATTTTTTGTCGCACAACAGTACGAGGCATTTTTATCTTTCGCTCTTACTCATTGTTTGTTGCGTTAGCTGCGTTACGACTTTGCAAATACAAAGCGTAGCTCGAATACAAAGTAAATTTTGAGCTTTTCGGCGCAGTTCCGAGTTATTGCAAATGCGATTAATTACCTACAAACGAATGAAAGTACGCGTTTTCACCGGCATTGTTTCAAACTCATTGTTTTCATTGCCATATCTTTGAGTAATTATTGTATCAGTAATTGTTAATGTAATAAGGTTTATCGGTCACGTAGCCTCGAGCCAAAAGCAATCAATGAGGAAAATCGAGTGAAGTATATACAAATTCGGCCGACTTATACCTGAAGCATTCATTGCAGATTAGATCGATTAGAGAGCAGCAGTCAATAGCAGACACGCAGGGCGTACTCGACAATGGCGTGTAGCCACGCGAGAGACGCATGTCGATAGCCTCATTCCGATTTGGATTAAAGTGCGGCGTGCGCGCGTTCGCACAGCAATAGCAGCAGCAGCAGCAGCAGCAGCAGCAGCAGCAGCAGCAGCTTCGAGCGGCCGCGCGTCGGAGGCCGAAAACGAAGGATCGATGCATACGAGAAAGGCGGAGCGTGCGAGAGCGAGAGCGAGAGAGAAGGGCGCCAAGGCCCCGTGGGCCAAGGACACCGTGCGATCGACTACACTACCCTTCGACGACAAGCAAAAGCGCTAGCGCCCTCGCGCATGCCTGCCTGCCTGCCTGCGTGCCTGCCTGCCTACGTGCAACTGCTTTCCAGACTATCAATATGCCGCCCCGTCCCGTGCAAGTCATCCTTATCATTCTACTCGCGCCATACGAAACCCATTATTGCTGCTTAATTCCTTGATCGCTCGTCCTACAGCGTGACTTTTATCAACCCTCCTTCCGTGTTTACTGCTGCTTTTTATTGAAACAAGCCTAAACCTCTACACCTCGCCGTCAATTCTGATCTCTATCCTATTCTTCGATCCTGATTTTATACAAGAGAAACAACACTCGTTAACAATTTACGAGCAATCTTATTCCATCACTATTTTCTCCGCGAGTCTAATTATACGGGGTAAACGTTTCCTTGGCTACTGGCATCTTTCGAATTGTTATCTTAGTACCTTGCTGTTCGAATTACTGTCAACTTCATTTCGGAAAGGTTCACTCTTCTCAACGATACCAGCCGACGACTTCTTTATTTTGATTTTGAAATCAATAAATAGCAACACTTGCCAATTACTCAGTTTGCATTTCTCATTAATATATTGACCCACTTAGTTCACTAGGACAACAATACTGGCATAAGTCGAAACCTACTAATATTTGCTTTGAGTAGAACATTTATTCCGGAAATGTTTGTATTTCTGAGTCCGTACTGCAAACAAATCTGCCTGTGTTTATTCAATTTATTGATTGGATCGATATATTCTCATGGAATAAAAATGTTCTTTCAAATGGAAAATTGGACCACGTATCACTCGTATACTGTGAGCAAACATTGGTGCTCATAGTTTAACTAAAAGCGTATCTAGACAAATAAAGTTCTGATAAAACAAATATTTCAGTAGAAAAAGCTACTTAGTGGTCAGGCATGCCTATGAATGACTGACTGTATTACTTGAAAGAGGTCGAGTAATTATCCAAACTCTAAAAATTTGCCAATGCCTTTGAACGCGAGTTAATCGTAATCTTACATTGTCGTTGTTAATCTACGGAATACTATCAGTCCGACCTAGTTTTCGAAGCTTTCCCCTGAAAGCTCCATAATGGTTCTTCTCTGATATATTCGCGCAGCCAATTATTAAAGAAACGTGCTAATGAGCTTGCTAGAAGTAAGATTAGCAGTATACATGCTGCGAGAGAGCGAGTGTCTCCTATTCAGGACTAACCCAATAATCGGTCAATCAATCTAAGAGCGCGACAAACTGTAATTGCCGTGGGCAGTCATTAAGCGCGAGTGCCCTCTATTTTGGCTTTGCGGCGGTGCTGGCTATTCTCGTTGAGAAGCTTTGCAGGTTGTTGGGCGGCGATTCGTCATCGCTACGCGAGACACTTGACTGCGAGGTCGAGAGAGCACGAGGACAGTGAGGGGTTACGCTCCCATTATAATTGAACTGCGTCCTAATGAGTTTTGATCGCGCGCTAAGGCACACGCGTACGTCCGTGCAATGTTCGGTGTATTGCAGCAATACACGGCGCGGCAAATCACGTTAGTCGTAGGTACGGCGCCTCATGCGGAAATGTGAAATTCGAAGGAATGAGTCGGCAAAGATTCGTCGCTTTGACGGAGTCCATTTCTCGCTCGTTAACGAGACACAATCATCGGAGTATCGACCAATGAGTTATCGAGCGATGATTGGACGCGATTACATTGTTGAAGTTCTTTCCTCGCTCCTCGCATTGCTACACTTTTTATCGCGAGACCAAGCGATACTAACTCGACAGCTGAGCCTTTCGTGAGAATTTAATAAATTTAATAGAGAGATAAGGCTGCCGGGCGAATGCCGATACTTTGAAAAAGAGTTGAAGCTATTATAGGTGCTTTACGACGCTTCGCGAGGTACTTTCGCTTGGCTTCATCAGCTTCATATAGCTTACTATTCTCTACACTCTTCGAAGATCATATTTTCATATTAAACAGTCTGATCATATTCGCAACTCGATAGCGCTGCAGGCGGTAACAGTTTCATAGTGGCAGGAGCGGAAAAGCGAATGCAGAAAAAGTTGCAGTCCTTATACGATAGGTCGGACTGAAAATCCATCGTTCGCAGTAGTCGCGAAAACTAAGCAAGCCAAAGCAGCCTTGGCAATTGAACCTCGAGTACGAAGCTGAATACTCGGCGGGAGGGAGAAGCACGTGAGCGCACGGGGTCGTCAGCTTCTTGTCGACGCGATAAATAGCCGCGCAAAGTGGGCGGCCGCGGCGGCGTGGCTGGCGTACAGTTCGGCCGTTTAATGCGGAGGCACTCGCTCTTGCGCGCGCCTTGACATTTGGCAGATCGGGATCGCAGCGTGGCTCGGCGCGCGAAAGCTCGTCACGCCATTCCAAGATCAGCTGATATAGCGTCGACCTATGCGTCGTAGTCCGCTTACTATCGATCGCCCATTCGTTTTACCGCTCCTCGTTCGTCCGTCTCTCGCTATTCCTACTTCTATTCATCGTTTTCCCCTTCGACGAATGCATCCCTTTTATCTGTTAAAAACCTTCTCCCTCCGTAAGCGCCCTAGTAATTCGTTCCACCTGCAGTACAATTTCGTTCTCAAACTTTTTCGAACAAATCGCTCTCAATGTCAACTATTTATATTACTTTCCCTAAAGTATGTACTCGAGTAACCGTACAATTGACAGTTGGTCAAACGGAGCCGCATTTTTTTTGTGACTTTCTTTGTAGCTTTGTAGGTGATGTAGTATCGCTATTTTTAAAAGATATCCGTTTGACACGATAGCATTCCTTATAAAAATTACTCCCACGAATCCTTGAAAAAATTTTGAAAAGTTTAGGTAAGGACTAAGAAGCAACATCTATTACACTGTCATGTCGCTATGACAATTGAAAGCTAGAGTGAGATTTTCTGCTTGCAATATCACTTTATTGATAATTAGCTATAAAGTAATGATGAAGAATAGGATATTTTTAGTGCCTTTATTCTACTTAGAAAATGTAAAAGTGTAACTCATAGTGTCTTGGAAGATTGATGTTCAGATAGAAAAAAAAGTAGAGTGAATAAAAATCAGTATACTGTCGTGTTATTTTTTGCAAGTCGGTTTTAAAGAATGAATGTAAAGTTCCCGAGGCAAAAGAAACAAATCATGAATGTCGCAAGGGCCACTGAGAAGAGGGTCGACAGTCGTGTCCCTTGGAGCTCAAGCGGAAATCGTCGGACGACCTTTTTTCGGCCTCTTTCTCGGACACACATACATACATTTATGTCTGTGTGATATCGTAGAAGAGGGCCGCGTGTGTCGTCGGACGAATAGGCGACACGCCGCAGCTACTGACTACAATTTACGGCGTCCCGAGAATGTGCAGGGCCGATAGAGAAATAACCTCGGCTGCGCCAAATTCTCTCCATCTCTCTCCATCTCTGTAACGCGTGCGCGAAGCAATAGGAAATATTAGTGCCAGTTCGGTCGTTCTCTTTTATGTGACGCTATACTCTGGCTTCATTCTTACGAGTTTGCAGGCCCCGTGACCTAGCAATGCCACTCATTTTTCTCGCATGGCGCGCATCAAGATTTTACGCGTAAATCTTTTCCTGCTGGCAATGTCCTTTATATTCTTGAACCGCTTTATTTTTTTCTTGCTTCCTCTCTCGAGGACTGTTTTATTAGTCTATCTGTACGCTCGTGCCCTATCAAAATTAAAATCTCGTTCAGCTTTTTGTGAGAGGGTGATAAATATCCCAGAATGATGATTATTTGTCTTTCATAATAATATATATTTAGTATTTGGCAACATTTTCTTACTATTCTATTATTATTGTACACCACAGTGCACTTCATAAGTTTAATATTGTTATATACGATTTTTATTTTAATATTCTTTGTTTAAACTATCTCACATTTATCTCAAGCAATATTTTTAATAATTTTTAATTAGTTCTTTTTTACTTTGTGATTTTATCAGTTACACATATATATTCTACACATAAATTAACACAATTTTTTACTATATAATGCGGTAAGTGTTTAGTGCAGTCAGAATCTGATTGACATAAACAGGAAAACATAGATATTTTTCAATAAAACTGTTCTAAATTGACTACTAGCCTTCTTTTGCTATTGTTTTATAATGTCTTTTGTCTACGTATAATTTAAGGATATAAACAAAAAAGATATAATTGAAATGTAATTTAACATAGAAAAAATTTTTTTGCTTGTTACGCAAGAGGTCAAGCGTTACAAAACAGAACAGAAATGTCTATGAAAAAATGCTTTGATAGAGGTTTTTCATGCAAATGTAAAAACGAAATCTCATATGAAAAACAGAAAAAGCTATACTCTTTACTGTTATCCGAATGACAAAAGTACATAAACATCACAGAGAGTACACTTATAGCCGCGAATATAATTTATGTGCACGATGCTGAAGAGGACTTTGACGCTCTAATTAGTGCATGATATCATATCTAGAGCAAGGATAACAAGCTGAAGAGCCGAAATGAAAAAAAAAGAAGTAGATAATAAGATCGAGTACATACGCTCGTTCGATGGGTGGCTCGGTCTCTTTCAACCTGCAAGTAAGGATCAGACGCCTAAAGTTAGCACACCTCAAGCATACAATATGACATTACGCAGAGTGCTAAAAATTGGAGATTCATTTTAAGATTACATTCACTTTAGCCGTTCAAGCATTGACTAGATATTTTAAAAATTTAACAAAAAAAGAAAAAAGTTATAATGCTTTTGAAACAAAAAGTTTTTTTTTCTTTATAATATTTCTACGTGCATTAAGAACCGATAAAAATCTATTATATAACAAAGGATCTGTTCAACCGAATGAAATTCTTTCAAAGAAAACATATAATTAATCTCCAACATAATGCGATCTTTTTCTCTGCGCAAAGAAAAAACAAAAAAATAAAAAGTGATATCAATAAAAATAATAATAGTCGTTGGCAGTTATACAACAAGCGTTTTCTTGTTAAGAAAGTTTAGAGAACAAGATTGACAGGGAGCAAATAAAAAAAACTTTGTTCAGAAATTAAAGGTAGCTGTAGTAGTAATAGTAATCGTAGTAGTATAGTAAAGTAGATAGACGATACCATTTTCTTCATATTCAACAATTGCACACCTAATTACTAGTTTTCAGAAAGAAGAAAATACAGTTGCATAGTAAATAATGCCTATTGAAACATGTTATTTTCAGAAAAAAGATTTGTTATACTGTTGAAAACAATTACTTATACATTAGATAACAAAAAAGTTGAGAAAAAAACTGTAACAGACCTTAGAAGTTCGAACTATTTGACCACTACGTATTCACTGTTTTGAAATATAACAATAGCGTACATCATTAATAGAATTATATATTAAATATCAATAAATTATTTCTGTAGAATACTTGGAAATAACTCTTGAATGAACGAAAATAGCGGAAGACAAGTGTTACGCTTTTTTGAGATCATTTTTTATGCCCACATAATTATGATTTTTTGAAATAATACTTTGCCCTAATAAATATTGTTTAAATTAGCTATTTTCTGATACATTTTATTTAATGGAAAGAAAACCTTTCATTATCTATAACTGCATAAATTTATGCATATAAGACATCCTAAAAAATAAAGTATATAAAAATCCTATAGTGTATAAAAATCAGCTTATTGTTCTAAATAACAATTGTTGTCAAATGCTCCAGTCGTAACTTGAACTCAGCAAGCGACGCGAGGATAATTTTTCTTCTTATACGCTCATAATCAGGGACTCATTTAGATCACCGTTCAAAGTCTACCAGGTGCATGTGAGATTGGTTCGCACATTTGAAAATCGAAAAAATCAATACAGCGATGCTTACCTTTCGCTGGCGATTGAGCTGTTACGAGATATCGATTTCGGAGACATCTCGAAGTCGCTGTCGCTACGATAGAGGAAGCTTTCGCGGCGTTGTGGCATCGCCTGAAGCACGAGACCTGTGCTTGGCGATGTGCCGCCTCCTCCGCCGGCGGATCCGTCCAACGTCGAGGCGCCATTTTCGACGTCAAAACTGTAAGGTATTCAAGTTTTCTTATTAGTAATTTTCCTTCCCGCGACCTCTTAGACAAGCATTCTATTTAAAATTTCATAAAAATTTGTCGTCTTTCTCAACTATCCAAGCAACGTGTCATTGACATTGCTAACAAGTGATTCGTTATATTTGTAAAAAGCAACGTGTTTCACTTCAAATATTGTGAATGTGCATTAAATTCATTTATTTCTACTCACTTTTGTCTCATTTTCATTGGTTAAGATGTCATTGGTAATATAGCTATTATGTTTTATAAAATTCAGCTATGTGAAATAATGTAGCGAAGCATTTTAGAATTACAAATAATGTTTGTACAAATCATATTGTAGCAATAAAGAATACTAATGGCAAGACTTATCGAAATTAATATCTCGATTATAATTACGTGCTCCAATAAACCTATAAAAAATAAACACCAGACATATAACCTTGTTTCACCTCATTGTAAGAAATCAATCTTCGTGGATAATCCATATATTCAGACGGACATAACATACGATTACTGGGTCAATTAATAAAGTTTCGTGATAATTTGTCAGTGGATGAATTGTAAATTCACTACATTTTGAAATTTACAATACCTTTTTAATAACGATAGACGCTTGTACAAAGTCTAACAACATTTAACCTATATTACCGAAAGAAATAGTGGTACATTTTAGCAGTGTCCGAGTGATACATACATCGCAAATTTATAATCACCCATATTTTTGCCTGTCACTGTTGAATACTAAAAGAATGCTCTTTATTTATTGATTCTTACGGTCCGAGTTGGTCTGAGTACTTTTATAATTTTCAATCAGACTGGGCAAGTTATCAAAAGGCTTTGAACTAGTTACGTTTTACTTTAAATTTCGTCGATTTATATGCATTGCACAGGAGATTCCTACTTTAATCTAATTTTCAAGTTCTCAACTCGATCTTCTTTTTATAATGCGCTGAAATACTTAATACTTTTGAACACTTTTTACACTCAAGTTGTTTTTTTTTATCAAAATATTGAGTTTTTATGATATCACGCATTGCGACTATAAAGTCGCAAGTTAATGAGAAACAAAAACCAACGTGAATTGCGAGCTCAATATTTAAATTAATAGAATACAGTACTGTATTTGGTGTACAGTGATGTACTTTATGAGTGATTGATTCAATAGCTATAATTATTTGAGCATGCAAGCGATCATCGAAGCGAGAGAAAATTGAACAAGAGCTTAAATCGAGAATGCAGATAGCAAACGCGCTGAACGCCAGTGTGGTTTGAATGGATGTAATTGAATTTAATAGAAAGTGGAGAAAACATTTTAGTTGGATTGAGTGACAGCCGCGCGGCGCAGCTCGAATTCTATGCGCAATAAATTGGTAACCGTTCAATCTGGAAAGCCATAAACTTGATAAGCCGCTTTCGGCCTTTGTGCGGCAAACTGACGCGTAATCTTGTGGGTGGCGGATAGGGGACATCTAAGCACGCACACTTCTCCAAAGAACAATCTCACTTGAACGGCACTCTGTCAGAAATGTCAAACTCGCGTGTGACTCTTCAAAGCCCTGAAGCTTTATTCAGCTCGCGCGGCACCTATCTACTTACACGCCTCGACGTACGTATTGCGCTCGTTGCAGCAGCGATGAACGCGCGCGACACGTGCTTTCGCGTCTATTATCCGTTGTGCACTCCACCACGGGGGAAAATTGAACTAGCAGCGACGTTCCGTAGGTATCGACGTTGCCAAAGTATCACAGAAGTAATGCAATTGGGATAACGAACAAGGATCGAGAAAGAAAGAGGGTCAGACCGGAGAAGAGGCCGAGAGCTGATGAAAGCCAAGGCTGCGTCAGCTTTAAAAAGGCTGGATTAAGAAATTGTTGACGGCATCAGCGTAGTCGACGAGGAGGGCCAGGAGCAGGAGCTCGTTTTCGCTAAAAGCTCGATCGCCGGCGAGTACTTGATGAATCGTGCCGAACAAATTGCTATGCTCGGAAGAATTGTCGACGAGCCGAGAAAAAGGAGACAAAAGACCGACGGGTAAAAAGCACGAGTTGAGGGCTTATGGGCAACCGCGGCGAAGAGGAGGAGGAGGAGCTAAAAGAAGAAGAAAAAGTACAGTGGAAGGAGGAAAGCGAGAAAAGCTTGGCCGGTACTAACGAGCAAGAGAGAGAGAGAGAGAGAGAGAGAGAGGGAGAGTAGGCGAGTGACGTAAATCCAGTAGTAGCGCCGGCGCTTCCGACCAACAAGCTATATACTTATCTACAGAGCGCGGGGAACATTTAAACGCCGTAATCGCGCCGTCTCTCACTCGTGCTTTTCACGCGAAAAAAAGAGAGGACGAGCTTGGTCCCCTCCCACCTTATACAGCTCTGGAGCCAGTCCCTCTTTATCTTTGCTCTGCCCTTGATATTCCTCTGCTTTTGTTGCTGCTACTCGGAAAGCTAAATTCAATCAAAGACGCAACTTGATCGTCCGGCAAAAAGAGAACAATTTATTCGATCAATGAACTTTCGCTGAATTTCCGCTCTTGGCTTTCGGACTGCCTCGGTTTTATTTTAAATTTACCTTTGACAATCAACGCTCTCGGGTTCTTCAGAATTTCAATGATAATCCGATAAAATCATAAAGCCCTCGAGTCCTTTCATTCCATCTTGGCTTTAAATATGCCTTACTTAAAATTCATGAATTGAAACTGATGGGCAGGGCGGCCTTTTCATTGTTTCTGCCTGTGAATTAATTTGAATAGGGGACGCATAAAAAGTTGCTCATTACTACACGAGCAGAGATAGCCTCGTTTCAGATGTTAAATCAGCTCGACGCTCATTCGGTTCCATCATCCTATTTCTACTCTATTTTCGGACGAAGCTGAATGCTAGTATGGAATAAGTTAACAAGTTTTTTCCGCAACAAATGACTAACTGTTAAAACTGGTAAATCGTTCGATAATCTTTTCAGCAAGTGCCGCAAGTACTTCTACAGATTCCTATCAATGGCGTGTAATCTACGAGGATTAACTAAAGTAGCAGCGAATCCTATTATGATAAATAACAAATTAATGAACTGAAGAGATGTTGTTTAATTAATTACGCTTCGATGGAGACTTCAAGTTGTGGATGCATTATCGAAATTAAACTCGAATCCAATATTAATATACCTTTCAAATAATTTGGACCGATTAAGATGATTGCTTCATTCCTGAGGGGCGACCTACTCATTATCCATCTGGTTTTGTAGCTTTCGTTTACCCGAGGGAAGTGTACACTTGTAATGAAATCATCTTATTCATATTTAGCATTCGAATTTCCAGTCGAACGAAATAGCTATTAAATCGTAGATCCCGGATTTCACTAAGAAAGCCTAACTGCCCTTAATACTTGAATTATGGAGTATTATAAAAGTTTTCAAATCATTACTCATCGATCACGAGTTCAATAATATGAAACTTTGATTTCGTGATAAATAAATGAAAAAAAAACTAGTGAAAGTAAATCGTCTCTGGATGGATATTCGCGTATTTAATTGATTAAGCACATAGCTCTAAGTGATCGTGGATTATGGATGAATCCTCAGAGAGAGAGAGAGAGAGAGAGAGAGAGAGAAAGAGGCAGAGAGAGAGAGAGAGACAGAGAGAGAGAGAGTCATAAAATGTAAGTGTGCACGCATGTGTGCAATCCAAAGTTACGGATGCCGATAAACAAAGCCGTAAATGAAAATGATGAAGTTTGAGTAGAATATTGGTAAAGTTAGACGACAGGCGATGCGACGCGTGCACCCTAGTTTTATTTCTTCTTTTTACACGAACAAAGAATTGATATAAAAGTTTTTGAACGAATTGATAGAGCGGCAGGCGGCAGCAGCGAAGCGAAAGTGTTCAATTAGAGCGCGCAGCATGCTCGTGCGACGCTATGTAGCAGTCGTGGTGCCTCGATGTAACGCAAAGGTAAAAAGAAAAAGCAATTAAGCGGAATGTAATGATGAGTTATTTGGTTGGACGTGAGACGTTGCGAAACACTCTCCTTGCCTCTGCGGCGTGTGCAAATCGTCCGCGCAATAAAGCAGACGTCGTCTCAAGCGTCAACACACTACAAGAGTCTACGTGCGACGAGGCACATTCGCGTTCTATCTATCTGATGACCTTGAAAGAAAAGCAGCTAATGTACGCAACGTGCACGTGGAAACTATGTAGCTGCCTCGCGCTGCTCGAAAATATCTGCCGTTGAGACCAGAAATATTCCGGTCGCAAGTCGGGCGACTTTGCACCCTATAAATAACTCATGTCTCTCGGTTTTCAACTCAAGTTACAAAGCTCGCGCTCGGCGACCAAGCCACCTCGCACTTACTTACGAAAAGCCCATCGGCAGAATAGCAATACCCTAGCAAACTATTTATTTGGACTTGAGCTCTCCCTCCACGTTATATCGCGCTCTGCCGTGGAATACACTCCACTATGTTGACTCGGCTCGGCTCGATCATCAAAAAGCTTTCCATCAAAATCCTACACATAGTTCAGTTGCACGAGAAATTTCTTCCACGTGTAGCATTACACGATACGTTAATAGAATCTAGCTCGGTTGCAAACGAGCCAGTTATTCAAAAAAAGTCAATGGCATTGTTTTCGTTTCAAAGCGAAAGCACTTCACTTGGAAAAACGTTCTGTCAACAAAACAGATTCGCTGTGCGGCAATATTTATATCAATTTATTCGCGTGGAACCGAAAAGGTTGTCGTTGCTCCTGTATTTACATCGGGATTCCTTTATTAAAGTTTGAAAGAACGAAAAACCAGAGAAGTGGAGAATATCGTGGTCGCTGATGTCAGTACTGGTGTAGAAAATATGTGTGAGAGAAATCGTGCCACTAAAAAGTCTACTCACTCAAAAACAGGCGATTCGCTCGGTGCCAAGACCAACCTCGGCAAAACGATGGCCTTCGTGCGGCGCGTCTTGAGTGTCTGGGCCGAGGTAAAGGAGGCCTGATACTCCTGGGCGGTGATGGGCGAGTGCGGGCTCAGAATGTGGATTTTCCGGTCACTGCCCCCGGGACTGGTAAGCGAGATAAAATTGTTGGGCGGCGGCAAGCTGAGGTGCTGCAGCTTGGTGCGGTCGGTGCCGGCGAACAAGTTGCGCCGCACCTCGGCCTTGAGGCTCTCCTCGCGATGCAGGTTCTCGCTGCTCTTGGACTCGACCGCGTGGATGCGGCGCACGTCGAGGCGCGACGCCGTGAGGAAGCTGCGATAGTGGTGGTGGCCGCGCGGGCCCACGGCACCCACAGCTCCGCCGCTGGTCACGTGCGACTCGGCGGAGGCCGAGCACAGTGACTCGCACGAGCGCGAGTCCTCGACGAAGTTCACCTCGGGCTCGAGCAGCTGGCGCGAGCTCGTTCGCAGCGACTCCATTGAGCGGGCGGTCGCCTGTGCCTGGCAGCCAGCGATCAGCAAGTTGTGACGGCTCTGCGGGTGTGCCGGCTTCTGTGGCTGTCCTCCCTCGGGCTCGTAATCCTCCTGGCTCGAGCTCGAGTGCGGGCTCCTGGTCGTCATCGTGAAGAGGCCCGGCCGGCCGACCAGCTGCTGGTGGTGCTGTTGATGGTGTTGCAGGTGCTGGTACCTGCTCGAGGAAATCTGACGGTAGGCCTGCTCGCGGCCGCTGCTGCTGCTCGACGAATGGATGAGCATCTGGTGGTGGTGAGGCGGCGTATCGCTGGGCGGCGATTCGTGGACAGTGCCGTCGAAAGTGCGCGATCGACCGAACACCGGAACGCCGATGTTGAGCATCTGCTGGCGCGCGGCAACGTTTTCCGTGTGAGGAGCCAGCTCCTCGTCCTTGGGTATCTCCTCCACCTCGTTCTCCGACGAAGAGGTTATCTTCTCGGAGCCCTCGACGGAATCGTTGTTATCTCTCTTATTGTGGAGGATGCGGCCGAGGGCCATCTTCTTGGGGTTGGCCACCTCGTCGGGACTGGCCACGGCCTTCTCATCGGGCTCTTCGTCGTCCATGCTACTAGTCCCGGCCAACTTGGCTCTTGCGGAGCCTGACCTGTTGGTGGCAGCGGTGGGAGCGAGCGACCGTGGGATCAGTTGACTCGCGCGAAACCCCGGAGCGCTGCTGGCTGCGAAGCTTCGGCAGTTGCTTTCACCGAACCCTACGCTTGACCATCGTTGTCGTCCAGTCCAGCTCACTATTCCTACTGCTAATTATATTCTTGTTTTTGCTACTTTTGTTACTCTTGCTGCTCTTGCTGCTCTTGCTGCTCTTACTGCTTTTCTTATTCTTGACGCTATTGCTGCTACTGCGACCGATGGGACAAATTTTTGCTCGTAGCCGCGAATGCAACATCGCTCCGGCTACGGCTCTGTTGTACTAATACTGCTGCAGATGCCTCCACTGCTTTACCGCTGCAACCTTCATTAACTCGTGAAGCTTGACGTAATTGCGATTTATAGTCAATTGCGTTTCAGTGACCTGTCGTTACTGCTACTGATCCTCTACCACTGCTGCACTTTCGGCTTATTGAGCTTTCGTATCGTTGGCTTGCCTTTTACGAGGCGCAATTCTCGTGCCATGTCAGGTTTAAAATTCGGTGCCACGCGACTGCTATACCTATCCACGCGATATCGTAACAGTTACAAAGGAGCACCTTTTACAAACCAATTCGATTTTTTTTCTCTCTCACTCACTCACGCAATACACAGTTTCGCTTTTTCCTCAGATTATTTAATAGAGTTTCCACTTATATAAAAAGGAACTTCAATAGAATTCATTCCAGTTACTAAGTACATTTCACAGTCATAAAACCCAGGTTACTGTCCACAGATTACTCTATAATTGTAATTTTTATGAATAATTTTAGTCAAAACTCGTTCATTTTTCGTAGATATGCTTTCATTTTTAGTTCAACAACTCGAGGTTTATTCATTAACCAATTTTCAACTTTATTTACCGTAGCTATTTAAGACGAGTATTATGAGCAAACACTTTTACAAGTAATTGCAAAATAAAATTGTTTGAGTGTCACGATTACTTAATTTTAATAGATGTTCCAGGTATTATGAGAGAAAAAAACGGCGATGAATTGTAAATACGATCGATATAAAAGTTTTTACCAAACGAATTCGTCTATTCGTAAATTTATTTTATCGCAATGGTCGCTAAAAGTATTTTGTCGATAAACACGGATCGAATAAAAATGACTCGGAAAATTGCGATATTTGCTCGTGGAATAATACTCACTATATATATTTTATGTTTGAACAGTTGGAAATGTGCGTGTACGTGTGCTTTGTGATTTCACTTAATAAATATTCGATTTAAATTTGTACAAAATCGTTAGGAAATCTTGAGTCTTTTTGTGAAAAAATCGATTTGAAAATGAACAAATGCTTACGTAAAAATGATTACTCCTTTCGTTGTACTGTCTTTGCAACAGAAATTGCGTGATTCTTCGAGCGGGAACAAGGCATGTATTTTCATAAGATAATGATCTGATAAACGAATACGAAAAGGATTTTCCAAATATTGTTCGTGATAAATTTATGTATCATAATATTCATAAAGGATAAGCTGACTCATTCGACGAGATGAAACATCCAATTCCCAACAGTTAGATAAGCTTATAGCATAATAAACATCAAAAGTAATTGGAATGTGTATCGAGAAAGCAGCTAGTTGGCGTATGACTGGAGGAAGACATAATGAGGAAATATGAACTGCAAAATGCTAAGTACGATTTGATGGCAATCAAAAGTGGCGAACAAAGCGGATAAATGAGCCGAAGGATAACAAGTAAGTATCACTCGAGATTGCAGAGAAGAGGCTATCTCTGAAGATGCGCTTACAAAAAAGATATAGCAAGTCTGGGCTGAATCTACCGAAGCCAGTCATGCATGCATCAAGCGTAGCGCACACTCACGTACATATATACATACGTATATTCATGTATACGCCAGCAACAGTAGTAGCCCTCGGAGCCTCTTTTCTTTTGTTCCACCACTGAACGGCTTCATAAGCCTGCCTCGCGCGCTTTTCCCGAGCTAACGCTGCTCGATTATTTGTCTTTCTCTTCGCCAAGGGTACTGGTCTAGTCCACCCATTTCCTGGATATCGCGCACGTGTGTGTGTGTGTCTATATGTGTGCACGTGTGCACGTGTGTACGTATACTTTCTCTACGCTCTATATCTTTGCACTTGCCTCTGATAGATGTCACTGTTTTAGCCTATCCCCCCAGTGCTTCATTTGCCCTCGGTTTTTTGTTTTACCTGTGCATCGACTCGTTATTTTTTTCTTTTCAGCCAGACTTTTTTTCCACGCGAATAGTCTAGTACGAAAAAATAGACACTTGAGAGTGAATGCACGCTAATTAACGCGTCGTCTATAAGATATAAAAAAAGTTTTTGAGCAAGTCAGCTCACGGAAAAATGCAGCCAGCAAGTGAATCGATTCCAGGGGTACATTATCGGTAACAAAGGAAAAGTTGCTCAGCTGTTTTGACGAATTTCTGGAAATAGTTCCGATTTCTCTATTTAGCGAGCGAAATCGATTCCGTTGACTGGAACTCTATTAATTTCATTGGCTGATCGTTCCCTGTACCTCTCTTTCCATAACGTTTGACTGACGGTCCAGTCACTAACGTATTGCGGAATTTGTTTCGTCACATTGTTATTCAGTCCCGAAGAGCAAGAGAATAACAAGCTACTTATTATTCAAGCGGGAAGGCGGAAAAGATTCCGAAGAACAAAGCCAAGGAAAGCAGGACAAGAGAGGAAAGAGAGAGAGAGAGAGAGAGAGAGAGAGAGAGAGGAAGTCAAGAGAAGAGAGTGCATGCAACGAAATCCGCTTGTTTTTTCATTTTTTCCTTTTTCTAGATTGGATTTAACCTGTACCACGATATAGATATATGCTGTCTCCGACTATTCCAAAGAACTAAACTCTGTTGGAAAGCTTTGCCTGCATGCGCTTGCGCAGTTTTTTAATTAATGCTCTATATCAGAGTCACCATCGATCGAAGTTCCTTCTTTTTTATTTTTGCTATTTCTCCTTGTTACTCCTAGTTGCAACCCTTACAAGTGGCGTTCATCCGTTCATCCATTAACTTAGTGCTCATGATTTTTGCTCTCTCTCTCTCTCTCTCTCTCTCTCTCTCTCTCTCTCTCTCTCTCTCTCTCTCTCTCTCCTTCTCGGCGTCAAGCTCGTTAATTTTAGTGACGCTTACGCCCAAGAATTTGTAGCGACTTAATAGCCAAAGATCTGAGAATTAGGAGGAAATCTGACTTATATTACAAATGCGTCTTTTGACAAATCATCGGCCATGCTATTCAGTTTAATTTCGTCATTGTACATCTGAAAAAAGAAAAAGGAAAAAGAATCGAATTCTTTTATCTGAATCTTTTATAATATAGTTCAGAGCAAACTTTTCAAATTTATCGATCAAGTTTATGAGCTCAAAACCAAGTTTAGCCGAATGAACATTGAAAAGCTTTTTCCTCCTTCACTTGAGCTGTTGACGTTTCGGTATGGTAATGAAAGTGAAGACGAAAAAATGTTCACAGTGATTAGAGTCAATGTTTTCAGTGTTTTGTTTCTGTTTTTGTCGTTGCGGAATATCAATAATATTGACGAATAAATGACTGTAAGAATGGAAACGCGCGTGAAAAAACATCAGTAATTGGAACTGACGAGGAGTTGAAATTGAAACAAACTGCAACGAGAATGTATAATTCAGCAAAAGTGTTGTTTGTTCAAAGCTTGCGACCTAGAATAAAAAGTAACAAAAGGAGCCAGGCGCGGTAAAAGTTAATCAAAGTAAAAGCATGTGTGTAGGTGGGTATGAATAGCTGCGAGAGTCAAATATCGAAAAGTCAATTGGTAGTGACGCAGGAAAAGCAGCAAGCGAGGGATGAAACAAAGTAGTAAAATCGGAAAGCTCGATCGGGGCTGTGAATGTAGCTTAGCGCTTTTCTGCCATAGCTCATCTCTCTTTCATTCGGGCAAACAGATTGGCCTGTCGATATCGGAGAACAGCCATTTGCCGGTGCTGCAGAAAACGAGAGAATAATGATCGCGAGACGTGAAACGTCCTTTGCTCCCGCGTGAAACGCCCGAGCTCACGCCCGCCGCGTCGACGCTCATCTCTTGCCTTTTTTTTCTCTTTGCTGTTTGCCCCGCATGGAAAACAAGCAGTGGCCTCCTTCTTTATCTCTTTCTCTCGCGCCCCTTTTCCCTCGACCCGCAGCCTCTATCAACAAACAGCTCTAGGACTTTTACGAGGAAGAAACCTGCAGACAGCACGAGCGCCAAGATTGCATACAACTTTGGCGTGCTACAAAAACTTTATTTTAACCTTACCGATCAACTTCGCACTTGTTTTTCGCCCGACGAATCGTATCGCCTGGATAATCACGTATTATTTTCGCACATGACATCAAACTGCAACGAAATAATGAAAGAAAATCGATACGCAAAAAAGAATGACGCGAAAGACCTTGATGAGCGCAAGCAAACTTCGGCCAAGCATTGAAGTGAATTGGTTTGGTTTTCACGGATAGAATCTGCCGCAAATCCAGCCTCAATTACTCGACACTTTATTTGTCGCGCTTTTTTTTTACTGGCATAAAACGACTCAACTGGACACGTCCCAGTTGGCGAATGAGGACCGACGTGCAGCAGCAGCAGCAGCAGCAGCAGCAGCAGCAGCAGTGCGCCCCGTCAGCCGCAACTCTGCACGGCGCCAAAGTAAGTCGCACTTTACACGCGGGACGTGCCTCGGCAGAGGCAGCCGAGAGGAGCCGTTCGATGTACTCTGTCGGAAAGGTGCTCGCGCTAGCAGTTATTGTCCGTGTCTGCCGTGTCTGTGGCTGCGCGGCAACAATCCGCAACGTACGCAACGTATACGAGTCGACTTTCAGCGTTTGGACGCGAGCGCGAGTGAGCCACAGTCGTATCAGCGGAATGAAACTTGCTTCGCCGAACGCGCGATTGTCTGAGCCTCCTTTTCAGTTAATTAGCTTTGAGAGCCGCCAGCAGACGACAGTCGCCGGCTGCGAGGGAAACTTGGAAACAGCAACAGCGTGATTATTAGTAGGTATCGCGCCACAGGAAATTGCCTTGCGTCACTGGCTCTGATACGTGCGCCTCGCTTTGACTCCATCGCCTTGGCAGCTCGTTTATAGGACTCAACTCTAAACCTTACTATTCAAAGGAAATACGCTATACAGTCTATCCTCCGAAATTGATGTCATTGCAGACTGGCCCCGTGCTTTCCCATTCTATTCTTCGACTAAGGGGATTCTTTTTGTTCTCGAAAGCACAAGTGCTTTCGTTGTTTTTCTCAGTTTTTGCAGCATTTTGTTAGACGCCTTACTGTCCTCTCTTATTTTTATTGTCAAATCTATAAAAGATACTTATG